CCCCCCCCACCCCCACCGCACATCCGATGATTCTACAAATATGTAATTCCCTGTGTAACAAACTTGGGTCAGCTGTGACCATGCAGCAAGGGAAGAGCAACTCCGGAATGCTTGGAGAGAAGTGCAGTGACTCCGGTTAGGCATCTCCTACCCACGAATGGACCTCTGGGAGGAGTCTGTAGTGTAGACCAGGAGCAACCAAACATCAGCCCTCCTGCTGCGGTGATACAAAACAAATCCCATCATACATCTGCTTCTGGGAGTCATACCTGTGGCTGTGAGTCTTGCAATGCCTCATGGGATTTCTAGGACCACAACAGCTGTAGGGCTGGAGTTGCCCACCCCTGCCATAAAGTGTCATAATCCCCCCCCATATTGGTAAGGAGACCCTGTCTGAGCTTAGAGGAAACCTAAACTAAGGTACCCGGCAATGGAAGATCTTCTATATTCACCTCCCTGGTGGCCCCGTGTCTTCCACCTCCCCTCTGTCACAGCACTGCAGCCTTCGTCAGACTCTTTAGCATTGGATGTCCCCAATGCATGTTGGCACTTCTTCCGTTGGCACTGCTCTGACCTGCAGTGATGTAATGAGGTCTAATTGCTCCCTATTCCCCACTAGGCACATAGAGGGGTGATTTGTAAACCGTTCGCACAGTGAAGAGCTCTGCAAATGAGCTTCACAGCCCATTGTGGCCACTAGATGGAGACAAGGAGCAGAGGAAATTCAGATGTTCCTCGGCTCCCTCTAGTGGCCACAATGGGCGGCAAACCTAATCCTCAATTGTTCTCTCAGCGAACTGTTTGTACTCCACCTCCATAGTGTCTACTGACAGAGGAGGGGGGAGGGGAGAAGAGATTGTTGTAGTGACTGAACAAGGAGAATCTGGAACTCTTTTCTGGGTTTAGTGTTTATTCCTCACCTGTGCTGATCTCCGGAGGAAGTTCCTTCTCCTTACACGGCTCCTCCCCCATCTCATACGGCTCGTCTTCATCTACAACTTCTACTTTAATGTCGATCAGATCTGGACCCTGTATAACAGAACCAGCCAATGGAGTACATTACATTGAGGGCTAAAGGCAAACCCATCCAAGATTCCTTACAGGGGATGCACCGATACTGGATAAACTTGACCAAAACTACTATAGTTACCCTTCAATGTAAGACCCCCAACTTCCTCTTACCTGATCAATCTGAGGCATCTCCTGATGTTCCTGTGTGGAGTCCCGGGAATACAGAGGACGAGCCTGAGGGATCTCCTGATGTTCCTGTGTGGAATCCCGGCAATACAGAGGACGGGTCTGAGGGATCTCCTGATGTTCCTGTGTGGAATCCCGGGAATACAGAGGACGGGTCTGAGGGATCTCCTGATGTTCCTGTGTGGAGTCCCGGGAATACAGAGGACGGGTCTGAGGGATCTCCTGATGTTCCTGTGTGGAATCCCGGGAATACAGAGTACGGGCCTGAGAGATCTCCTGATGTTCCTGTGTGGAGTCCCGGGAATACAGAGGACGGGTCTGAGGGATCTCCTGATGTTCCCGTGTGGAGTCCCGGGAATACAGAGGACAGGGACATCTCTCTGGGGTATTTCTCTTCCTGGATCCATCTGTAGGAAACAGAATTCTAGTCACATAATTGTGATGCAGCTATTTCTTATCATCATGTATTATGTACTTTATGTAGACACTGTATTTTTAGGATGTTTTTGGCCTCCAGAACCAAAGTCACACATCAATATAAAGTCACGGACAGAGAGAAAAGGCTGATGAAAGGAGTTCTCTGAACAAGGAGAATCTGGGACTCTCTTCTGGATTTAGTGTTTATTACTCACCTGTGCTGATCTCTGGAGGAACTTCCTCCTCTTTGACATCTCTCTTGGTCTCTCTGGTGTCTCCTGGGTCTGTGAATAAAGAAGAGAGTGAAGCCCCCTGTACTGAGATGTATGAGAGACCCCAGATAGTGTGTGTGGGGTGAGACTGGTCACGTCTCTTGGCTGGTAACACACAATGACATGATGTGAGGAGGAGAGCCGGAGTCTAATAGAGGCTGATGGCTCCTGACTCCCCCCACTAGACACATTCCGTCCCCCCATTACTGTCTACTGACAGAGGGGGGGGGGGGGGAAGAGGAGATTGTTGTAGTGACTGAACAAGGAGAATCTGGGACTCTTTTCTGGATTTAGTGTTTATTCCTCACCTGTGCTGATCTCTGGAGGAACATCATCATCCTCCTTACACGGCTCATCTTCCATCACATATGGACCTTCTTCATCTTCAACTTTAATCACAGTCAGGCCCTCATTCTGGACAACACACAAAATATCTGATTTATGAGTTGAAATAAAAGAGAGAATATCATGTTTTCTTTTTAAGACTTCCAGTTCCATATACCTGATCCTCCTGAGGGATCTCCTGATGTTCCTGTGTGGAATCCCGGGAATACAGAGGACGGGGAAATCTCTCTGGGGTATTCCTCTTACTGGATCCACCTGTAGGAAACACACACACTGACTGAATACATTGTTTCTATGTCTTTTATATCAGAGGATGTGTGTATCTAGGGGGATCCTCAATACTCAAGAAATGAAAGTCTCCTCTTACCCGGTGATGTGAGGGGCGGCCGGTTCTCCATCATGACGTCCCTATAGAGATCCCGGTGTCCTTCTAGATACTCCCACTCCTTGGTATATCTGAGTTTGCCTTTGGAAAAGAACACAGCTTTGTAAAGATCGAGTTGTAATAAATAAATATTCCAAACATTTATTGATCACCAACGTAAGGAATATTCTTCTCACTGACCACCAATGTAAGGAACATTCTTCCCATTGACCACCAATGTGAGGGACATTCTTCCCACTGACCACCAATGTGAGGGACATTCTTCCCACTGACCACCAATGTGAGGGACATTCTTCCCACTGACCACCAATGTGAGGGACATTCTTCCCATTGACCACCAATGTAAGAAACATTCTTCTCACTGACCACCAATGTGAGGGACATTATTCCCGCTGACCTCCAATGTGAGGGACATTCTTCCCAGTGACCACCAATGTGAGGGACATTCTTCCCGCTGACCTCCAATGTGAGGGACATTCTTCCCGCTGACCTCCAATGTGAGGGACATTCTTCCCGCTGACCTCCAATGTGAGGGACATTCTTCCCAGTGACCACCAATGAAAGGAAGGAAAGAGACTCCCCATAAAGACTAGGTAAGCTGGGCGGAGTTGGGAACCCCAATTTGCGTCCTTGTCACATTGGCTGCCCTATTTTTAGGGTTACGGCACTGTTATCATTCCACCTCCAAAGTTTCTAGTATAGCTAGTCAGCCTTGACTCCCCCAGAGCACATGATCCCTCCCCTACAGACAGAGCTCAGTCTCCCCTAATTCTCTCCTTCATATCATAAGAAGACATCCTTACCTTCTCACTGGCAACACTCTCCATCTGCAATGCACAAGCAGCTGCTGGAAAACAGAGCAAACTTGGTGTAACTTTTCGGGGTTTTTCTACCGCGCTACAAGAAAATGGCCGCCACCCGGAGCTTATGCAGGGTTTAAAGGACTCGGGACTAAAGAAAAATGTCCGCTGCTCTCTTCAGCTCTATGGGTCAGGGGGCGGAACCTGGTTGCCAGGCAACGTTTTCTACTCGGGCGCTGTGTGCGTTCCACAGCGGCCCATCAACTTCCGGCCTGGTTTGGCGCATGCGCAGATTCAAAATCGAGTCAAGAGCTAGTCAACATGATAATAATGAAAGAAAATCTTTATATGAAACCTCTAGAGTCAAAAGAATGACATTAATCCCTTCTCAAGCGCTCAGCTGTGACTGCTTTCAATATAGTACACATGGGGATTTATTGCCCATGGCAACCATTTTTTTTAACACTACAATTGGTTGCCTATGGCAACATCGCCATCCCTGCAAACTGACGCTGTTTCAGAGGGCAGCAACCGCTGTTGGTGGTCTGCAAGTCCCGGTTCACACAATTGTGAGCTTAAAACACCAACGCATCGGGCTCATGCCATCAACTAACCCTTTCTGCTTAGAAATCCCACGCAACACCTACAACGATGGTCTAACCCTCTCACTCTTGGCTAGGCCGGATGTCCTACTGCCCTGCTTGTTATGTTTTAAACTCTATCATGGTGCCTCAACTCTTCTTCCAGTCCCTGCGATTGGCTCTATTACGATATGTTTGGAATCATACAACATCATGTCTATGACACGTCATCTTGGTGGAACATACATGGGACGGAGGCACAGGTCTACCACATGTGGAACTCTACAACAGAACTGCGGTCTTGTGATGGGTCCTTGACCGGTTCATCCAACGCCAATATAAAGGATGGATACCTCTTCAACAAACGTATCCTCCTCATCTGCTTACTGTGGGTCAGAGGACATCTCCAAACCCGTTCCTCTAAGCTCTTGTCCTCTCTACTTCCAATATGGGAAGCCTCAATCGCTGCCCTTCTCTCTTCTCCTGTAGGCCCCCAAACACCAATCGTCAGTTCCTACTTGGCATAACTTGCACCACTTACCTCTAGGGATGCACCGATACTGATACTAGTAATCGTACTTACCCAAATGCTCCGATACTTACCTCTGATACCGGAACCTTCAGGCAGAGGGAGATCGCCCTCTGACCAGCAGTGCCGAGGGAACATGGACCCGGCCTACTTTCCAATCAGGAAGTCGGGCGGCATGTCATGACCCACCTCCCGACTTCCTGATTCTAGGCAGCCTGGCTTCCTGACCAAACATGTGAAGCCAGCTTCTAGCCAATCAGGAAGCCGGGCGGCACTTCATGACTCACGTCCCGGCCTTGTCATTGGTCAGGAAGCCACGCTGCCTAGCAAGTCAGGAAGCGGGTCATGACATGCCGCCCAGCTTCCTGATTGGCTAGGAAGCCGGACAGCACCTCATTACCTGCCCCGCCATCCTAATTGGTCAGGAAGCCAGGCAGCCTCACAAGTGAAGCTGCTGTTCTTTCGCTAGAGCCAACCAGAAAGCTGGGAGACAGGTCATGATCCACCACCGACTTCCTGATAATCCGAGCACACGGCGCCGTTATCAGTATTGGAAAGTACCAAAAAAATATCGATGCATACCTACTTTCATCCAAAGGACAACCCATGACCCTTCTCCTATCTACCAACCATTCTCCACAGCTGGCCTCAAACCCCTAAGGACCATTTCCTCTGACCAGAAGTCATTATCAGCGCCAATGATTCCAATTACGACACACTGATAACCATCTTAAGAACCAGGGAACATGAAGGGAAGTCCAGACTCTACCAACCATTGCATTTTCCCGCAAGTCATATTACACTAAGGTGTCGAAAAGAGAGCTGGGCCTCCAGAGGAGAACTGGAACACTTAAGGAACGGGTGGTAGATGTTAACCGTCTGATGCGCCTGGAGGAAAATCCAAAATAGATCCTCGAAATGTATTAAACGTGGAGGTGTTTGGGTAGCTTTTATCAACTCTGCACCTTATCGTAGAGGCTCCACCCCCTGAGGCTCCACAAATACATCTACTAATCTAAAGGGACACCTACGCCAACTGGCCACCTAACCTTCTCCTGTCTTTACTTTGCTCCTCCACTCTCCACTGCTCCTTTTTTTCTGTCTTCTGCTTTCTTGGCAAGCACAGATGGTCCCTCACCCTAACGGTCCACCATATCTAGATTACCATCTTTACTGGCCCACTCCGATAGGAAATTGTCATCATCATTTCATACATACTCACACTAGGCTGTCCATCAACATTAGACAGCAGTCTGACCGTCAAAAGGGACCTCTAATTCCCCTTCCCAATACACACATCACATGCACTCCTGTCCTCCTCTGTGGGTGGCAGGTGGCCCTAATGTTGGTCTTGGAGGTCTTTCCATGGTAGGAGCTCTTCTAAAGTTGAATGCCCAACCATTGCCCATGAGAATCTTTCCACTATGATTGACATGGCTGAATTCTCCTCCCCAATACACACAACATCATGCACCTGTCCTCCTATGTGGGTGGCAGATGGCCCTAAAGCTGCTCTTGGAGGTCAGTGGGGCCTTTCCATGGCAGGAGCTCTTCTAAAGTTGAATGCCCAACCATTGCCCATGAGAATCTTTCCACTATGATTGACATGGCTGAATTCTCCTCCCCAATACACACAACATCATGCACCTGTCCTCCTATGTGGGTGGCAGATGGCCCTAAAGCTGCTCTTGGAGGTCAGTGGGGCCTTTCCATGGTAGGAGCTCTTCTAAAGTTGAATACCCAACCATTGTCCATGAGAACCTTCCCACTATGATTACCATGGCTGAATTCCCCTCCCCAATATACACAACATCACGCACGGTCCTGCCCTCCTATGTGGGTGGCAGACGGCCCTAAAGCTGCTCTTGGACGGCCTTTTCCATGGCAGGAGCTCTTTTAAAGTTGAAGGCCCAAACACGGCTCATGAGAAGTTCTCCACCATGATTGATGTGGCTGAAAGCCATCTTTTGGTTTAAATGAAGAAGTTAGGGTGAACAAAGACAGGTCCTCTTTATTTATTTTACAGCAGCAAGAGAAACAAGGTCTGAGCCCTGGATGACATAATTTATTGAGTCTACATCGGAGTACCTCGTACTTGATCAGGGTGGATGAAGAAGGTCAAGTGATTCCAAAAAGTTGGACCATCGAAGATCCCATTGTGACTGCCCTCTATGATACCGCATGATTTTGGTCCCTATTGTCAGTCTCTTTTGGACCTCCACCTCTTGCTTACCCCAATTCCCCCTACAGAGTTCCTACCCCACTTTTTTGTTGGTCTCTCTTTGTCTCCAAAAATTGCCAACCCAAAAAAAGATGGTGCTGCTCATGTCAGCATGAACGCCCACAAACCGTTCCTCGTTTACTGGGACGTTACCCTATGAGGCTGTGAGGAGCACATGGGGCACATTGTCGCAAAGTCGTCCGTGGCCTCGTCACCCCTTCACTGGTGCAAATACTGATGGGCGATCAGAGAGGTTTTCCTTTTGAAACTCTTGCTGCAAACCGAGCAAGAAAAGGGCTTCTCCCCCGTGTGAGTCCTTTCATGCGTGGCCAAGTTTGACTTCTGTGTGAACCTCTTTCCGCACACGGGACAGGAATACGGCTTCTCGTCGGTGTGGGTCCTTTCGTGCGTGACCAGGAAGTCCTTCAACGCAAAAAGTTTCCCGCACACCGAGCACGAATAGGGCTTCTCCCCCGTGTGGATAAGCTCGTGCCGATCACGACGGGCCTTGACCGGAAAAGGCTTGCTGCAGTAAGAGCAGACGTACGGTTTCAACCCCGTGTGGATCCTGAGGTGTTTCACGAGGTCTCCTTTTTGGGTAAAACACTTTCCGCACTCCGAGCAAGGAAACGGTTTCTCTCCCGTGTGAATTCGGAGATGTTTCACGAGGTCGCCTTTCTGAGTGAAGCATTTGTCGCATTCCGAGCACGGGTACGGCTTCTCTCCCGAGTGGAACTTCTGATGCTGGGCCAGGATGGCCGTGTCTGGGAAGGACTTCCCGCACTGGGAACAGGAGTACGGCCTCTCGTCGGAGTGAACCTTCTCGTGTTTCACCAGGTGGGCTTTTTGGGTAAAGACTTTGCCGCAGTCGGAACAGGAGAAAAGACGTTCCCTTACGTGGATGCGCTCGTGGGCCAGAAGTTCTGATCGCTTACAGAAACTTTCCGCGCACTCGGAGCACGGGAAGTTTCTGGGACACCTAGCGCCCTTGGGGTGGAGTGATGGATCTACGCCGAGAATATTGGGTTCCAGATCGGGGATCATGGTGTATCGCCCATCTGAAAAAAAAAAGCGCAAGGGACAGATAGAGGCTTGACGCCGACCTCCAGCCAATTCTGGATAGAGTAGAGAAGGTTACACTTCCTACCCAGTATTTATTCGCATCTGGGAGACTTTTCCCTCACTTCCTGTCCCCGTGACACCTGTACAAGTAATGGGGGGGAGCAGTTGTCACTGAGAATAGGAAGGCCCAGCCGACATTACAAAACACTAACCCTTCCTCAGCCTGATACCGGTCTGAACCTCGAACCCAGAAAGAAGCTTCAGCGAATTCCCCACCTGCAGCTGCATGCAACCAAAGGGGCAGGATGCTGTGACATGATTGACCTTATATGGCCACATGGCCATATTTGGTCAACGACATTGAGCTAATAAGGCCATATAAGTTCAACAATGTCAGCAAAAGCATCCCGCCCCTTTGCTTACGTGCAGCTGTTGGTCTGTTAGCTATCCCATTGAAAGAAATGTATCATGTCTGCTCAATAAATGCCAAATATACCTGTTGATCCTGTCAGATATCCAATGAGCTTGGCAGTGCTATCAGCCCTGTTCAGTCCTCTCTTTCAGCTACAGAACACCTTCTTCGTGTTATGTCGATAAGGAGACATGTTCTGTAGTGCTAGCACATCTCCTATGCTAGGGTGACAACGCTTCGTCAATACAGGTGAGCGTTGTCACCCTAGGACAGGAAGTGTGTTACTGGCGGGATCACCAGGTGACAAGCCATAGGAATGAAAACTAATGGAGACACCACATTCTAAGGAGGCTGATGGTCCCTGTCTCCCCCACTGGGAACATACTGCCTCCCCGTTACTGACTGGTGACCTCCAATAGAAAAGTTATTTTTGGGGGTTTAGACTATAATGGGGTGACGTGAAGAGGGGAACATTCAAAATCTGGGACACCTCTCTCTGTTTAGAGGTTAGTACTGACCTGTGCCGATCTCTGGAAACATGTCAGCCTCTTCAATTTTTCCCACTATTACTTCCCCCTCTTCTTCTTCCTCTTCATATTCTTCTTCCTCCTCTGGAGAGACTTCCTCCTCTTCAATCCTCACATGTCCTTCTTCCTCCTCCTCCTCCGGTTTGATGTTTCTCTGAGTGTCTCCGGGGTCTGTGAATAGAGATGAGAGTGAAGCCCCCTGTACTGAGATGTATGAGAGACCCCAGAGAGTGTGTGTGGGGGGAGACTGGTCACGTCTCTTGGCTGGCAATACACAATGACATGATGTGAGGGGAGGCGGAGTCTAATAGAGGCTGATGGCTCCTGACTCCCCCCACTAGACACATTCTGTCCCCCAATACTGTCTACTGACAGAGGAGGAGATAGAAGAAGAGGAGATTGTTGTAGTGACTGAACAAGGAGAATCTGGGACTCTTCTCTGGATTTAGTGTTTATTCCTCACCTGTGCTGATCTCTGGAGGAAGCTCCTCCTCTTCTTCCTCTTTAATTATCACTTTTAGCTCCTCCTCAGCTTTGAAGTCTCTCTGAGTGTCCTCGGGGTCCGTGAATAAAGAGGAGAGTGAACCACTCTGAGATGTATGAGAGATCCCATGTGTGTGGGGAACTGGTCTTTTTAATTCCTCACCAGTGCTGATCTCTGGAGGGATTTCCTCCTCCTCCCACGGCTCATCACCCTCCACATAGAGATCTTCTGCTTCAGCTTTAACATGAATTAGGGTTGTACCTTGATGTTCCTGTGTGGAATCCCGGGAATACAGAGGACGGGTCTGAGGGATCTCATGATGTTCCTGTGTGGAATCCCGGGAATACAGAGGAGAAGCTTGAGGGATCTCTTGATGTCCCTGTGTGGAATCCCGGGAATACAGAGGACGGGCCTGAGGGATCTCCTGATGTTCCTGAGTGGAGTCAAGACATGAAAGTCTCCCCTTACCCGGTGATGTGAGGGGCGGCCGGTTCTCCATCATGACGTTCCTGTAGAGATCCTGGTGTCCTCCTAGATACTCCCACTCCTTGGTATGTTTGAACTCATTAAAAACAAAAACACAAATTTGAAAATACGGCCCCAATAAATGATGTAAAAAGGACATTGATATAGAAAACATAAACCAGAATGTATTGTTCTTTCAGTTTTACGTTGAAGAATTGAGTACAGAAAAAAGATTGAAGTAGGTTTGAAGAGGTCAAAAATGGGAGAGAGAGAAAGCTGTAATAGTGAGGATGGGGGGATAATGGGGGCACGGGAACAAAGGAAGAGGAGAATTGGAGAGGGAATGGGGTATAAAAGA